TTATCGATTTAGTCGATTAGTTGTTGTATCTCTAGTTATATTTACCCATTACCCCTTGTGTGCAGTGCAGGCAATCTCAGCTCTCCAGCTGTGGTATAACTACAAATCCCAGCATGCATCATCCTCTGGGAGTCATGCCTGTGGCCCGTCAGTCTTGCAATGGCTCATTGGGCTTGTAGTTTCAACAAGTGCCAAGGTTGCCCACCCTGGTAAAATGTTAATTTGGCTAGGGGGGTAAGTACCAATACCTTACCTTTCACCCTCCTGGGGGCCTGCACTATTTTCTGCTGTCCAACGTTCTGGGTTGAGGGTTGTAGGTGAGCAGGACTGCTTGTCTTTCATTGTATGTGATGACTTTGGAGAGCTGCTGACCGTCCGGACAGCGAAGGGAAAAGGCTTTGTGAAACCGGAGAAGAGGAAGCCTGCAGGAGTAAGGGATAAGGGAAGTATCCTTGCCTCCAGCCAAATTAGCTTTTAACCCAAATAGATGTCCCCATTGCAGGGCCGTAACTACAGATCACAGGGCCCCATAGCAAAAATATGATGGGCCCCCCCAATTACCTCTCTCTGAGCTGTGAGTAATGATGCCAAGATCCCAAAGACTCCTCTTGTGCCTCTGAAGTTGTTTCTACACTGTAGACATTGCAGCGGATTAGAGTTGTGATCAGCTGCAACCACTCCAACCCTTAATGATACCGTACTGTATTATCTTCACATCTTCTAGGTTTAATTTGCCTCAACAACCTAATGGGGCCCCCTTCCACCCCAGGCCCCATAGCAGCCACCTGGGCTGCTATAGGATTATAAATCAAGTGAATTATCATAGGTAATGAGATACATCTCAGATTAGGTGGATACAGATGATATTATTTATGAAATGACCCGTAGGTCATTCATATTCAATCCTAAACAGGAGTTAACTTTTTGAAGAATGTTAGTATAACATTGCGCAAACTGTTGGCGCTATATAAATCCTGTATAATAATAGTATAAGTTTACACCTTTTTAGTGTTTTTTTGTTTTGTTTGTTTACTAATGTCCCAAGAAGGTAACAAGTTTGTTAGTTCCATAGGGAACTGGCAGGTCTTTCGGTTATACAGTTCACGGGTTTAAAAAAAGGAAGTCGCAGTATGTGTTGGGGGAGAAGGTAAAAGCGGACCCTCTATTGGAAGGACCATTATATTTTTGCTAGCCCTTGGCCCCCTCTCCAACAGAAAAGGCTTTGAAAAACCTTTGCAAACAAGGCCGGGTGAACGTCCCCTCCTCTCTCTGCCAGCGGACATCACCAAGACGGCCGCCGACGGGCGTCAATAAAACAGCCGCGCATGTGCAATGAGATCATCGTGCGCGGCAACGTCACGGCGGGGTTTCACCCAGTCTCCGCTCCGGGTGTCACCCATCCTCGGGACGCCCCTGGAGGTAGCCCCACTGTAAGGGTTAGTTGTTACAATTCCTGAAGTACCCCTTTCATGAAGTGTTATTTTGTGACACTTTGCACGGTTTCAGCAAACCCCACCTTAAACCTTTATCGGAGCACGATCACCGCACATGGAAATGCTGCGAGCCATTATGAACGGGGCCCTAAGAGGGACAAATTTCCAAGCCGGAGTTTTAAGGCAAAAGTCCATCAATACAATGTGCACAAAAGCCATGACTATAGAGACTCTTACAAATTATACATTAGTAGATAAGACAATGGCGTGCGATGTCTTCCTCGGAATATAGGCGTGACGCTACAATTGGCCTATGTGTCTTCCATAATCTGATTATGTGCTTTAACCAGTCCCTTTAACATTCCCGGTGTCTTGTCCCGTGTTCTGACAAAGCCTATACATTTTCTTCGAGGGCTCGCTGTCTGGCTGGGAGAGGGGTGGAGGCCTGGGAACTCCGCTCTGGTTAAGTTAATTTCCATAGACATAATAGCGGCACAGACTCAAAGGGTCAGATGCGGACATGGCTCCTCCAGCTGCCAGGCCCGGGCCCTTCTGCGGCTTTTGTTGCCAGCTCCCGTGGCTAGTTCATTGAGGCTGGCGCATGGGGCACGGTGACAACAGAGGGAGCGCCCCGCTGCATTGAGAGGCACAGAGGCCGCATTGTTCGGCGTGCGTAAGAAAAGCTCCGTCTCCCAGCCCTCTCCTGACACAATGCATATAATAACACGCTGCTGAGACAAAGGACAGGTCCTCCTCTCTCAAGCTCCCTGTGTTGACACAAAGGGACATCTTGCAGCACTCAAATCCATCTATTCACATTCAGGCCTGACGGAGCCTCCCGTGTGACAATGTGACCCTGAATTATCGGGGAATCCCACAAATCCTCCCGAATGTACAATGACTGTGACACAAGTTTAGAAAAAAAAAAAACCCCAACACGACTCATGACAAAGCTGACGCCTCTAATTTGGGACAAATTCTCACTGCTGCTTTCATTGTGCATTGTTCCTCTTTCAGTCCTGTTGTGGAAGTCTCGTCAGATACTTTGTGACCAGTTCTTGTGAAAGTTTTCATTCTTGTGTCTTTTTATATCTTTTTGGGGTTTTTTTTTTTGTTTTTTGTTTTTTGAGCTGTTTGATTTTGCTTTTTGTTACATTTATGTTCAGCACCATTTTACGAAAGACTATCCAGAGGAACACCTATTCTTCCTGTATGGTTTGGGCTTATTTAAATGTTGTGATTGGAGTTATAAATAAAGGTATTTCACCAGCACACACTTGAAAAAATCTTTAAAGTATTGATATGTTTATTCAATACCAGATGTACTGTCATACGGTGCTAACGTACGCACGGGGATCCTTCATCAGAGCGACAGTGACACTGAATTATACTGTCGCTCTGATGAAGTATCCCCACTGGACTTGAAAAAGATTTTTTTCAAGTGTGTGTCGGTGAAATAGCTTTATCACTAGTGTTTGCACGGCGCCATCCGTGTGGTCACCTTGAGCATCACATATACCTTGTGGGCTTTGAGACCGTGGCAGTGAGAATGGGATTTGGACTTTGCTTTGAGATATGACAAAAATTAAAATCTTAAGCTCATAGATGAGGATTAGTCCCGGTTCACACTGAGCGTTTTGTATAGTGTTTTCTGCCCTAAAAAATGCTCAAAGAATCTGCCTCCCCAAAAATCCTATTTATTTATATGGCCCTATGAGGGCAGGTAGGGGACCAAGCTGTATTTCTTTATATAGTAATATACATATTAGAAAATTACCGTTTTTATTTATGTATTGAAAAATAATATGTATCTTGATAAGATGAGTGGAGACGTTGGCAGTGGGATAAACTCATCGGTCTTCTGCTGAGAAAGGTCCTTCCCCTTCCCCCAAAAAAACCCTTTTTCTGGAGTCCCGGATTAAATAAACCCATATGTGTCACATGTAGAAGATATAAACTGGGCGTTGAGATGCGGGACAGAAGTGTGTTAGGAAAACAAGACTCGGGCTCCCCAGGCTGTGAGGTGTCTCGGCTTGTCCCGCAGTTACACACGCTGCAGATGCCGCTGCAGATGCCGTTTAATAATCTCATAACCGAACAACCGTGAAATTGCAAGTTTAGTATATCGGGGCCGGATTAACCCCTCCATTACCATCTGCGTCACTCTGTCTCTCACTCCAACAGTGACAGGTCAGCATTGCAATCTTTGCTCTGTCTGATGCCACCATCTCCCCTGGCCAGCGGTATAACTATGGATCATGGGGCCTGCAGCAAAATATTGATGCCCCCCCTCCCTGGCAACTTTTCTCTGTGGCCAACTGTGACAATATGGGTCACTGCTCTAATATATAGCATGCCAATAATAGGAGTTGTAGTCTCAATAATAAGAGTTATCACTATATTTTATATTGTGACTTAATTTCTAATGCTCCTGCACACAATGAATGTATATCCATCAAATGAACTGGATTTTTTCTTTGCAGAACTACAAACCTCAGCTCGGTTTTAGCTGAGGAGACCCTCTGGGATTTGTTTACTGCATAAGGCATACAGGGTTTATAGTGATGTAGTGGTTAGCACTTTTGCCGTGCAGCCTCTCGGGGTCCCCAGTTCAAATCCCGGTCAGGACACTATTTTTATAAGTAGTTTGCATGTTCATGTGCTTGCGTGGGTTTCCTCCCACACTCCAAAGACATGCTGGAAGGTTAATTGGTTCCTGTCTAAATTGTCCCTGTATGTGTATGCAATAGGGACCTTAGATTGTAAGTCCCTTGAGGGCAGGGACTGACATGAATGTGCACGTAGAAAAAAATTGCCAATAAATTAATTTTAGAGTGACCGGGCTGCAGCCAAGTTTTTTTGGTAATAAATCCAAGTTGCTAAGACAGCTAAACAAATGCTCCTTACTGCTTGGAGGGCATCTATGACTATCATTGATCATAGTCATTGTTTATGACTCCTAACTTCTGCTTTTCTAGACTGTGGTCCTTACAGTTTAATTTGCTTCAACTTCCCAATGGGGGCCTCCCTCCCACCCCACGCCCCGTAGAAGCCACAGGGGCAACTATGGCTATAATTACGCCGCAGTCCCTGACTATTCTTCCGGGTCCCACTGTGATTCTCTTCTGCTCATCTGCCATTGGATGGCCATTGAGCATTTCTTTTTTTGGGAGGCGGGCGAACAAAGCTTTTGGTTCCCGTGACAACTTTGAAGGTTGAACACGTTGACAAATTGAGCTTCAGTCACTACACATACTCTTTTCAAGGGCACTTTCACACCATTTTCCAGACCAGATCTAGTCCGGAAAATAGTGTGAACCTGCCCGCAGTTCCAGTGCATTCTAGACCAGACACAATAAGACGTGCAGTATTTTTCTGGTCTGGAACAGACTGCGCTGGTCTGAAGAGAGGCTGTGTGTGAGTTGTGCGTTCATGTGTATGTAAGAGTCCCTGTGTGGTCTAGTATTTAAGAGTACCTGTTCTCCTGTATTTTACAGTCTCTTAGGAAGTCATTGCATATTCTCTAATGTTCTATAATTCCTAACCAGGATTTTATTTTCTTCTCAGGCTCCAACACTCAGACACCATGGCAAGCGACGGATGTATGAAAGTGACCAAGTACTTCCTGTTTCTATTTAACCTCCTGTTCTTTGTAAGTACCACTTATAGAAAGGAATATAACATCTCTAAACCCCGCCTCCCATTTCCATTTGTTTCCAGAGACAACCTTGATACATAAAGGGAAAAGATTTGTAGTGTGAGATATGAATACTGCATTTCCCAGAACAATGTGGACTTATTATTTTGATGCTGTCTTGTGATTTACTGTGTGTTGGCTAACCCCCGTTGAGGTCCCCAGCTTTGAATTTACATGGCACTCGGTGCCTTGGTCCTCCACCCTTTTCCTACATGGCTCTTATCAGAGTGCTATGGCTATCCTCTCGTCCATTGTTTTGTTAATTACTATTTTCTCTGAGAGTGGTCCAAGCATCGTCACATCCTGTGCATTACACCATCAACACAAAATTCGGCTTACATCATACAGGGCATCTCGGAAGACCCTCTACGCAGTCCTTCTAACCACAGCACCAGTTTCTTATGTATGTACTGTATCCACTGAAAGAGCTCCCTTATGTTCATTCCACATGGTGGTCGGGATGAAGTTGCCAAGGGGTCTCCCTACTTTTGCTACATCCTCCATTACATACACAAAATGGAGTAAACTTGTGGTGTGAGACCCTTCTGTAAGTGTTCCTTACCCTGATACAGAACTGCAGAACTGTAATAAATATATATTATAGTAATGATTAAATGGACACTAGCCAAGTGATGGAAGGGAAAGAGTTGGAACACTGGAGACACAATCCCAGCTATGCAGTTGGTGCCCTTTTATTGGTCGCTGACCCTTATGGGATGGGTGTGGAGTGGCCAGGACAAAGCTGGGGTAGCCCCACGTCAAGTGTAGGTTTCCTAAATTACTGGGGTTCTTCTTTAAATCCTTAGGCAGAGACATGCAAGGTCACATGTTTTTCCTTTCCCCTGTGGTAAAAAAGTACATATAATGACAGTTGTTATAAACATAAGGAAGTACATTCTTTCCAGGGTCAGCTCTTGTTTTATTAGCGCTGTAACATTCAAGAAGATCTTACCAACGAGCTGAGAATTCACAATAAAACGACAGAGCAATATATTTTCCCTGTCCTGGTCATTGGCACATTTTGGGTAGCCATGGACCGAAAGGACACTCTTCAGTTACATGTAAGCTTGTCTGAGCTTTGTAGCCCTATAACAATAGTGTGTTCCGAGGGCGATCTAATGGTGCCTGCACTCTACAGCCTGCTCAAAGCGTTGCAGTGATTCATCTTGCTCTCCTGAAATTACATACAGGGGAAAGAGCTGTACCCGAGTTGAATTAACTAAGCAACAATTGCGCTGCAATTTGGAACTCTGGCCTGCAAATGGCTGCAACAAATCTTGGTGCGGCTCTGTTTTCTGACAAGTCCTATCACAAAGATTGATCACATTAGGAACTTGAAACCGTTTCCTCGTGTCTTGGCGAAGCGCTCCTATCTCTGTTTTGTACTAAACTTAAGAAGAGATAAGGCCTAAGATCTGTGGTTTCCTGTTTCTAAACATTGCGCATCTTTATTTCACATAGCAGGATCTCATCTCCGGGCTGTGGTGTATGACTGTTAAATAGGCACTGCAGGGTTTAAAGGAGCCGGTAGTATCATTTCAGTTTAATGTTTTAGCTGAAAGTTGTTCCATTTCAGAGGTCACATACAGATTTTGAAATGTTTCCTCAAGTTGCCGCTTTATAGGTCAGAATGTGATTAGCATCAGTAAAAGGAAAGGATGTTACCAGGTTACAGCCATTGAAGTATTAAAGTGTTCCTTACCGTGATGTGTGTTTATGTGTATGTATGTATGTATGTATGTATATGTATATGTATATATATATATATATATATATATATTCTTTTTTTTAGAACTTATTTATATTTTGATTTTTTATTATAGCCCTAAAGAAGCATTTTTAGTCCCCCGTAATGCTTTGGAGTGTTTTATGAACATTTAAGTGAATAAAAGGCTAACAGTTTTTCAAATATCCTCTCTAGATTCATTGCCAAGTCACATTAATAGAGTCAAAGATGTCCATTGTTACAGATCACTGTTGCTTTTAATGCTCTTTGCCTAGGCACATACCTCCTACCTTTACAATGTCACCATCCCAGTTATGCGGACCATTAAGAGTTTATATGCCAAAAATGATCGGTTAAACCAAGAATTGTATTTTTTTAACATTAAATGCCATTTATACTGGCTTTTTTGAATAGTAGATGAGATAAAGGTTTTAGTGCAGAATAAACATTTTGGTAGTTAGATAGAACCTTTTCCTAGATATCTGTATATCAGAGCAAAAAGAGGGACAACTGAGGAGGAAAGAGGGGCAGAGGGGTTTGGTTCTGAATGAGGGGTAGTCCCTTAAAATGAGGGGCAGTCTCTTTCAGATGAGGGGACAGCCCCTTTCAGATGAGGGGACAGCCCCTTTCAGATGAGGGGACTGCCCCTTTCAGATGAGGGGACTGCCCCTTTCAGATGAGGGGACTGCCCCTTTCAGATGAGGGGACTGCCCCTTTCAGATGAGGGGACTGCCCCTTTCAGATGAGGGGACTGCCCCTTTCAGATGAGGGGACTGCCCCTTTCAGATGAGGGGACTGCCCCTTTCAGATGAGGGGACTGCCCCTTTTTCAGATGAGGGGACTGCCCCTTTTTCAGATGAGGGGACAGTCCCTCCCAATGAGGGACAGTCCCTTCCAGATGAGGGACAGTTGGGAGGTATGTAGGCAGCCTAAATTATGTGATCTCTGGCTAGGAATTATAAGAGACTGTAGAATCAATACTCTTCAATGAGACAGACTCTGTCTTGTAGACTTGTATGAGCTAGAGGCATCAAATGTATTCTCATAGGTAATAAGCAAATCTAGAAGTATCCACTGTTTTTAATGCGTGTATCTCTACCAATGAGATGGATGTGATGACTTTAACACGTCATGGTGAGGCGTGGGGGGTATTCAGTTTGGAATAAATAGCTCTATAAGATTAGGCTGTATCTGTGCCATAAACAAGTGGTTTTGGATGTACAGTCATCCTGGAGTATACAGGAATGAAATGCATGGCTTCACACAATATCCTTTATTTATTTTAAGTAGGATTCACTGTGCTTTGTATCGGTTTAGGGTCTGCTCACACTATAGCATTGCGCTAAACGCTCAGTACCGTTTACCGCTTACTGCACCGCTATAGTGTGATCGGGCCCTCGGTGGGGGACTTTTTGATTGATTTTTTTTTTTCTTCACCTCACCATAACCTGTTTGATTGTATTTTCCAAAACGCAAAATACTGTTTATATAGCATGATATTAAGGCATTTTTTCCATCAACTCTGTGAGTGCTGTAGAACCCAGCAACGCATTTGTTCCGCATCAGTGCAGCAACAAGGCAGCTGAGCAGTAGTAAGGCGTTGAGCTGAGCCTGATCGTGCTATCCATTTAGGAATTCCTGCTGTGCGCACAGACCAGCTGTCAGTGCGGTGTAACAGCTCTGGAGCCCATCAATGTTAAATATGGTTTTATTGGAAAATAAGGAATGATATAAGGCAGCTGCTTGGCCCCTATAGATCTGAAACTGACAGCTGGATGTGTCCTGGGAATTCCGGGAATGCATTTCCTCCTGGGAATAATTCCCTTTTGTGTTGGAGTGTCTTTGCCTCTGAAAATGCAATTTTCAAAGTTCATTGCTGAGTTTTGTATTAAGCACAGTAGATCCTTCATAGAACACAAGGTCTCCTCCCAAACCCCAAAAGGGGGTTTATTCTGCATTTTAGGATTGTGGGCAGAGCCATGCAAATCCCTTTTTTTTTTTCATGCTCCTGGGCCAACTGGGCATCCAGAACCCGCCAGTCTATAGCACATATACAGCTCGATATTATTAACGGTTTGCCTTATGGCATAGTTACTGGTTAGGGAGTAACCTGCCTAGTCTGATCGGGCTTCTGCTGAAGAATCCCCATCCAGGAAGGTGGAAAAACCATGCACCAGCAGGTGAGGTGGGCAGATTAGTACCTCCTGGTAAGATGGATTTGCCTTGTCTGGCCAGGAGATGGAAGGCAGAGAGCTTATCGTGCTCATGAGAGTGGCAACCTGGGCATGCTGGAGAACCATTATGGGCTTTCTTTCACACTGCATACACTATCCTAATATGAGGAATAACCCTCTAATCTTGGGATTTGTGATTAAAGTGAGATATGGAAATGCCTTTAGTTTTGCAAAGCCTCTACTGTACTTTGTACTGGTTTAGTGGGAGACTTTTTTGCTCCTTTAAGTGTACCTCAGCATAACCTGTCTGGTCATACTTTCTCAAATCTCCCAAAGGCCCATAGAAGCCATTGGTTCCATACACTGCCTTGATGATGGCCATCAACTCTAAAATCACTTCTCAACATTGTGGCTAAAATCAAGGGTTATATAACCATTCATATTGATATCTATAGGGAAAACTCAGCTGCTTTCTTGCCTTATGGCATAGTTACTGGCTAGGGAGTATCCTGTCTAGTACAATGGGGGTTCGATCGAAGAATCCCTATTCAGGATGGTGGAAAAACCATGCACCAGCGGGTGAGGTGGGAATATTAGTACCTCTCAGATAAAGCTGGATCCTGAGGGACCCAGTGCCTCCTGTTAAGATGGATTTGCCTGGTCTGGCCAGGAGTTGGAAGGCAGAGAGCTCATGAGAGTGGCAACCTGGGCATGCTGGAGAATCATTATTATAAGCTTTGTACCACACTCTAAGTCAGTAGTACCCCAACTTTTTCCTATACTTGCTTTCTAGGAGAGGCCTTCTGGCCATCTCGGAAGAACTTTTATATCTGGACGCTAGGCCTACCAGGTACTCATACACAGTAGTTCTTACCACACTTATTTTTGTACAAGATAGAAGGGTGAAAGTTCTTCAGGATTGTCCTGATATGTGGCCAAAGATCTGTGGCCTTCAGGTTACAGTCTCTCCCACCCATATGCCCTGACACCTGCCCACTAACTAGACAGGTTATGCTGAGGTGGGCCAAAAGGATTGAAAAAATGTTTACTTAACC